ACTTTTTGTAATTTCCCCTCCCTTGGCTTTTGTTCAGCCGCCCCGAGTCCCTTCGGGGAATAGGGCATCCTACAAATTGAATAAACTCCAAACTCCAAACACATATTAACCAAAAGCATAAAACATGGGACAGTGTCGAACTTATGAGTAATACAGCCTTTCTGAAAGATCGCTAGCGGTGTCTTTAGTTGAAACGCCAGTACAGCTGAAGCCAATCTGATCTTAGGTGAGTTTTTTTTTTTAATGCTCTGCCCATTGGTTTTTATTATCATTATTTTTTTTCTACTGAAACAATCAGGTCAAGTTTATCATGCTTACGCCGCTTACTCAACTCCCACTCTAATTGTAAAACAATGGACTTTTATTTAATTTGAGTCGGCTTCGAGAACACAGCCAGTATGGGCCATGTCAGGGTTTTGGGAAAGTTGGGCTATTTTTTCCCCCTCCACTTTAGTGATAAATTCCCAGGTAATAGAAGCAGGTGGTTGTTTTGTAGTGTAATTTCGCTTTGCAATAATTTGTCCATCCAAGTAAATTACTGATAAAGTAACCTGTTTTTTTCCCTGACACCTCATCCATTTATTGCATTTCTATCCTGCTGTAATCATTTCAACTCTCAGCAGCTGCCGGAGGTTGAAACGGAGAATATCAATCTTAAACACTATGATCTACCGCCTTTTTATACTATGCATTCAAAAGGTTTATTTGGGGGTTGGGGGAATCTACAGCTGAAATCTGGAGCGGGCTGAAATAGGCATACCAATTTAGTAGGCAATGGCCGCAGTTTTTAAGTGATATCACAAAATAGAAACATGTTTGATTTGTGATTGCATACTAAAAGGGGCAATCATTTTCGTATTTTAATCCAGAGATTTCTAAACTTAACAGTGCGCAGCAAGAATTATTTTCAATTAACATATAAAATGCATATCCCACTCTAGGCATAACTCGGGCAAGTCCTCAGCTTGTGACCATAATGGAGCCTGCCCATCAGGTCGTAAGTCGTGAGGCTTAGTAAATCGGATCACCCACATGACTGACCTGATTGTATGACCTTTTCTCTCTCTCTCGTGGTGTTAAGTGAACCCATGGTTCTCTCCAGTGGTGCGTTTCCAAAAATTTTCTAACCTACTCTGTGGGTGTGGCCTCCTTTGTGGGAGTGGCTTGCCGGCCATGTGACCTGATGGGAGTGGCTTGCTGGCCATGTGTTTTCTCTCTCTCTTTCCTTCCTTTTGTCTCTGTCCCTTTTTCTTTTTTTTTTCTTTCATCTCTCTTTTTATTTATTTATTTATTTTTCCTTTCTTTCTCTCTCTCTGTGTGAGTCTGTGTGTGAGTGATGGGTTTCAAAATTTTTTAGAACCTCTTCTGTAGGTGTGGCCTGCTTTCCGGGTCCACTGGTGGAANTTCCCCTGGAGTGTGGAGGGAATGGGGATTTTGCAGTATCCTTCCTCTGGAGTGTGGAGGGAATGGGGATTTTGCAGTATCCTTCCTCTGGAGTGGGGAGGGAATGGAGATTTTGCAGTATCCTTCCCCTGCCATGCCCACAGAAAGGGTAGTAATTTTTTTTTTTGCATTTCACCACTGGGACTTCCTGTATTTACAAAGGGGGGGGTGGCAGCATCCGAGATCATGGGATCGCCATTTGTGAGTTTCCCAGCTGACAAAATCAATGGGATACCAAAGGTGTTTTTTTCTCCCCAAGAGAAAAAATGTATTTTTCTTTAAATACGTTTCGCGTCTCATGCCAGAAGCTTGGATGAAGAGCTGAAGAAGCTTCTGTGATGAAAAGCGAAACGTCTTCAAAGAAAAAACATTTTTCTTGGGGGTGGGGGGGGGAAGCACCTTTGGGACAATTCATTGTTTAATATAGGCAGCCTTGCATTTACAACAATTGAGACCATAATTTCTCTTGTTGCGGGAGGCAATTGTTAAAGGAGAGTCAACCTGCTTGGCTGTGTAGTCCACAAAATCATTGCAATTGTTAAGTGAACCATGCGTCATTAAACAAATCTTGCTTCCCCTGCTGACTTTTGCTTGTTGGGAAGCCAACTGGGAAACGCCTTCCCAAATGGTGATAGAAACATCCTGGGACACTATAGAGGTCATCAATACATGCTGACATGCCAAGATTTTGATCCCATCACTGTGGGGATATCCCAAAGGTGCCGTCTTCAAGAGACCACTGGACTGTCTGGTTTTTCTTCGGTTTCGCCTCTCATGCCAGAAGGTTGGATGAAGAGCTGAAGAAGCTTCTGGGATGAGAAGCGAGACGTCTTCAAAGAAAAACCAGAAGGCCCAGTTGCCTCTTGGAAAAAAAAAATACAGCACTTTTGGGACAAGCATGACCTGGATAAGTCAATGGGATGTGCTTTTGACACAACTCTTGCCACCTTATGGTAAGCTTATAGCGACATCTTGTGGAGATGAATGGAGTTGTGGAGAAGAGAATACTTGTATCTCTCTCTCTCTCTCTTTTTAACAGATTAACAGAGTTGGTGGTTTAGTATTAATTTTGATCTTAATCTCTGCTTGTCTGGGTATTGACTGCTGGTGAAGGGCAAGATGCTAGTCTATAAAAAAGAGAGCAAGGCCCCCACACCCTCCTGCAACTGATGATGTTACCCATTTGGGGAATGAAATGTCTGCAAGAAAACCACCAAGCTCAGAGAATCCCTCAAGACCTGGCCTCAAGACCTGGCTATCCCGTCAGGCCTGGGGATAAAGATCGTAATCCGTCCCCACCCGAATGATGAATGTTGTGTACTATTTTTACTTATGTATGTCTTACTGTCTTGTACTCCCCTCCCTATATATTGTAAGCCGCGGTGAGTCCCCTCAGGGAAAAGGGCAGCCTATAAATAATAAAACCATAAAACCATAATGCCAAAGTTCCCCGCAGGAATGAATATAGACACGTACCCTATATGCATGAATTAGGGAAGGTGCTCACAAAGTTAAAACGACCAAACGTGAATAAATAAGCATCCGAAACCATGAACAACAAATTGAAATGGTTAAAAACCATTTTGGAACGAGCTCCCCGTGGAGATTCGGGCCCTCTCCACCCTTCAGGCCTTCTGGAC